GAGAGAGGGGCTGTGACGGCCCTGAATTTTATAAACTCAGTGCATCCTGTGATGACCCAAAACGGATCCAAAATACGAAAACAAGACATAAACAAGTCTCTAGAGATGTACCTCATCCCTAAGACACCAAAGTGGCCTTCCGAGGAATCCCGTGACTCGGCGGAAGTAAGATCGGAGTTAAGGTTTCAAAACCCTCCAAGGAATGGACCAAGGGCAAAGTGGTCATTCCAAGCTGAAATGGGTGCCACCGTGCATATCATTGGATAGACAACGAAAAATTAACAAAGTTAAACTCAAAGAATCACCTGATTCGAAGTCCGGATGATAAAGATATCAAATTCCGAAGTTTTGAAACAAAAACACAAAAAAAAAAAAAAAAAAAAGGGAAAGGGGTGCGACTGGTTGCCTAGCACCCTAGGAGTACCCCCACGAGCATCCCATGACAAGTGGCAACCGGTCGCCAAGTGGGCGACCAGTCGCCAAAAAGCTGACTTGCTGGTAAATAGTGATTTCAGCCCAAATGCCATCTTGAAATGCGATTTTGAGGCCTTAAATGACATTTTTTTTTTTTTTTTTTTGTAAAAACATACGGACAAAACCCCCCTTAAAATCATGATTTCTAGCTGACTATGTCAAGACCGAAATTTATTTTTCAAAGTAAAATTCCTAAAATATCCCTAAACCAGATTTTGCAAACAAAATTTAAAATGAGTCCAAATGAGACTCATTTCACCAAGGATAAGGTTTTGCCCAAAAACGATCATGCACGCAAACTTAATGAACCTATTAAGACGCTCTACAATGATCCACGACTTTAAAATATTATCGATGCAAAATATGACCTATCAAACCTCAAATGCGTGAAAAATGTCATCTAAAGGCAAAACTTGCGACAACCGAACGTAGATGCATTCAAAAGACCGTTTGGCTCTTGGCCACACGTCATACATATTAAATGAGTCCTAATGGGTGTACTCATGCACACTTTGTACCATCCAAATTGAAAATGACTCGCTAAAATCTCGAATTTTCCTAATGTTGCCTTAAAAAGCAATATATGAATCCAAAATGCATAAATGAGAACAAAGTGGTGTTTGGCCCTTGGCCATACCTCATACATATTAAATGAATGCCAAAAAGTAAATTTGCATACACAATGCACACTCCTGTGCAAAAACGACATGTTAAAACCTTTGATTTTCATATTATTCCCATTAAAGGCAAAATCCAACTTTAAGTGTTTACATGTGATTCAAATGAAGTTTGGCACTTGGCCACATATCATACACATAAAATAAATGCTAAAAAGTGTACTTATTAGGTACACATTACAAGTTTCAAGGCAAAAATAACATTTTAGCCTAACTATGCATTACAATTTAAAAAGGCAAAACAATACATGCTAACACTTGCATGCTCGTTAAAATATATCAAAGTACTTCAAATTAAATAAAGTGACCTAGGGATGTTGTGCATCCCAAACCAAGGTATCCATACCTAAAAAATATCCCAACAACTAGGGTGAGTAAACAAGTTACTCGTAGGAAGAAGTGCATGCGTATACCCTAAAGATTCAAATGACATGCAAGTTCAATAAAGACCATTACAAGGGACTATTCCTCCTAACGTCTATGTTCCAAGGTGAACCAAGGGATAATCTCAAGTTATACAAGCAATTGAAATAAAAGACAACATACAAGTATACATGCTTAAGTATACAAAACAATGTTGAAACACAATGCACGACATATAAGCATACACTTATGAGTATACTAAACTATATTAAAACAAGATATTCAATATACAAGTATACCTACTCAAGCATACATTTAACATTGAAATACATGTAAAGCAATTATACAAGGCACAAGTATACAAAGCTAATCCTCAATATACAAGTATACATAATAAGTACACTGAACAACATTGAAACTAAATACTTAATATAAACAAGTATATGTCCACAAGTACACTAAACAATATTGAAACTGAAACACAATATATATACAAGTATACATTCACAAGTATACTAAGCAATATTGTTATACATGACATACAAGCATACAAGCTCAAGTACACTAAACCAAAACGAAATAAAATATAGAACGCACAAGCATATAAGGTACAAGTATACTAAGCGTAAATGAAACTCCACGCACCAAATCACTAGTTACAAGTAATCCATGATTAACAACTTGGAAATTGAATGCGAAATAAAGTAGTGAAAAGATAAGGACACATGGTCACTGACCAAACAAGTTATTCTGGGTAATTACGACCCACAGGGTACTACCTAGTGCGCACTTATGACTTAAGGAGACTCTTGTCCCCGTACTAGAGCCGAACCCTAGCCATAACATATTTTATGTGTTTACAAGCTTTTCCAAAATCAACAAGTCCAAAACTTTACAATTAAATAATGCAAGTAATCACGTTATATGCACAAGTAAGGTTGAATCCACACAAACCATGACCTAGAATTCAAATCTAAATGGCGTATGACATGTTAAGTCTTCAATATGCAATTTAGACATAAAACAAGAATATCTTATAATAACCAAGCCAATTTACTATCCTAAGCTATAAGTACTAAATATGCAATAATTTAGTAACTAGTTTTCAAGGTAAACAATGGTGATATTCTAAATAAGGAATATACCTATATAAGATATATTTAAATAAGTTAAACAAGACAATGATATTATATATCATGCTAAGTCAAATTACCATTTTAGGAGGCCACAAGTACTACTTCTACAACAATTTAGTAACATGCTCACAAGGTAGTTAAATGTAATACTTTACAAGAGATTGTCATTTAAACATGAAAAATCTCTAAAATCAAGTAATATAGTAAATGAAACAATTTACTTAGACAAGATATACATGCTCCCAAGGCTTTGAATTATCAAACAAGCTATACAATGCACATAAGTTATAATCTTAAGGCCACTAATTGTCATGTTATCTCTACACATTAGATATATATATATATATATATATATATATATAAGTTAGGCATGCTTTAAATCATGAAACAAACTATACAATATATATATATATATATATATATATATATATATATATATATAACTTACAAGCTACACATATATATACACCAAACATGCTTTTAAATCACTAAACTCTAAGTCATTTCAAAGACTTTCCATCTATATACAAGACTATGATTTAGCAAGCATTTAAACAATATATATTAAGCTCCAAAAATATCAAAACACTTGGAAAATAAACATACAACAACCCCCTACCTCACTAGAGAATTGGATCTCTAGAATCCAAAGAAAGCAAGTGCAAAATGGAAAACCCTTCAAGGGTTTTGTAGAGGAAGATGAGAGGAAACTTTTACTTCCCAATGTTTAGGTTCTAAGATGAGTGGAAGGAGACTAAAAATCAACAATTAGGTATAGGGTTCCAAGCTTTGGCTATGGTATTTAGAGAGAAAAGGCAAAAGTGATGAAGAAGATACACTTTAGTGTATTCCTCCACACACATATCTAGGGTTAGATGGTCAACACACACTTCTACACCATCTCACACATAATAAAGCTAAACATTAATATGAAGCCTATACTTATCATCATCTAAAGCCACTTTCTAAGTCTTAATCCAAACCTTACACTTGTCAACAATCTAAGCCAATAAGTGTACCAATCCTAAGCCAACAAGTGGGTAAATCATCACCCTCCACATGTCATCATCCAAGACTTCCAAGGGTAACCAATGGAATGACAACAAGTGGACCAATGATAGTGTAACACTTGTCACACTTTTCAAAAATTGTAAAAAGATCCCTCCTCTAAATATCTTGCAAATTAAATTGTAAAATGGTCCCTAAGACAAAAATTAATTACACAAAATTCCAAAAGTCAAGAATGTTTCCCAAGAAACTATGCATCCATACCTTTTACAAAAAAGTAAATAAGTAGCATACTTTTCCAAAAAAGTAAAGATACACATTCCATAGCAATAAATTATAGTGGAGGTATGCTAAACCGGGATTAAATCCGAGCACAAAAAGTAAGATTACACGCAAGAAAATATCAACGAAAAAAATAAATTCGTAAAAATAAAAAAGAGGAAAGGAAGAAAAATAACCGGGTCATTGCAGGGGTAAGGGATAGGAATAGTGAACAAATGCCCGAAAGAGAGGGAGAGAGATAAAGTTGATTACCATCTGAGAAGTATGGACACGACAATACAATAAATTATAACAATTAAAATATGAACACGATGGAAACATGATGAAATATATCATTTTATCATGTTTGATCATTAATCTCACGATGGAAAAATCACAAATCATAATAATTAGGAGTTATAAATAATTCATCTATCGTTTAAAGAACTACACATTTGAATCTACTGTGCACCTAATAATGATTTTTAAAGCCAAATATTTTAATTATTTTATGTCATGAGGGTTGTGTCTGACACGCTGAGTAACAATTTGGAAACTACTTTGTTGTTTTCTTATCGTACTTGCTCGTGGATGCTAAAATATATCAAAATGAAAACTTAAGATGGATGCTAAAAGATCAAAATGTGAAAACCTAGATTAATTTTTTGTCAAGTTTTAATCTAAGAGAGAATGTGAGAGAGTATTAATTCACTAGAATTCTAATGAGGGTACAAAAGGAGTTGGAATTTTAAAAGAGTCCCGGAAAGAGTGATAAGATAAAACTCTTGAACAAATTGAAATTCTAGGAAAAGATTAAAAAGAATTAGAAGTCATATAAAGAGGGTAATTATGGTATTGAAAGTATAATAAGCGTGATGTAGGGACTCTTTTATAATTTTATTTTAAGAAAAAAAAATTACAAAAGATAATTGTAGCATTAAAAATATTTTGAGAAATTGGCTTCAGTAATAAATGTCACAGGGCCAAATGAATTCACGAATTATGAAAGAATTTACTGTGAGAGAGCCAAACGACACATCCTTAATTAGATTGTGCGACTCGGGTCAAGATTCGACACAACTTCTGGAATAAAAGATTTCTTGAGAAATTATTTTTATTGACAACACACGTGGGGCCAAATACATGGATACGCATACGTACAAATGGACAGATTCATATTGATTTACATGACAACATTTACATAGCATGATTCACGTGATAGATAGATAGATATATATAGAGAGAGTTGTACATAACTTTATAACCCAAAGACCAAATTTAATTAAGCCGTAACAGTTGGTGTTGCAACAATTGAATCCATTTTTTGGTTCCTTGAAAGATTGATGGTTTCATTGTCACCCTCCTCCAGTCGGCTAAACCATATCTCTGGAATTTCTTTGGCCAGGTTGTCCACTGTCTCTAATGCATAATCGGCTTCTTCGGTCTTCACTGTTTTCCCAACCTATATAACAAAACAAATATTTTACAATATAATTAGACAAAATATATTATTTTTACTAATTGAAATTTGAAAATCAAAGTTCAAGGAAGTACACTTCCTTGTTTATCAAGATCTTAAATGCAATTAATTTTTTTAAAATAATAATTTTCATTGTTTATTTCGTATTTTCTCTAAGAGTTGGTTGAACCATTGGTGATATCTTTCAAATAAGTGTTTTTTCTTTGATAATTTTATTATTATTACTATTATTTATCTTTTATAAAAATACTATTATTTATCTTTTATAAAAATAAGTTGGAGCGAATATGTGAGAAATGTTCATAAGCCTCACTAAAAATATTAGCGCGATGTCATGCAACGGGCTCACACCCAGTGACGGAGTCAGAATTTCAAGTGAGGGGAGGGGGGCACACTTCCAAAAAAAAAAAAAAAACAATATGGAGTACATATACATATATATATATATATATATATATATATATATATATATATATATAACAACTATAAAATTCAAAAAGACAAAGAAGAAGAAAATTATTAAAATATAAAAAGAAAGAAAAATGAAAAAACTTTAATAGGAAATAGTTAAAAAGTTTCAATTGAAGAAGAAAAATTTGACTTTTTATAAGGAATGTGAAGAATAAAAGAAAATATAAGAATATAATTTTAGGAACTACAAATTTGAGGGGGGACTATATAAATTTTTTATATATATGAATTTTTTTTTAAAAATTACCACATATATTATAGGTTACTGACCAACTCAGGGGGCACGTGCCCCCCTAGGCTTTTATTGGCTCCGTCCCTGCTCACACCCTTAGTTAGGAACTTAGGAATTTGTAAGATGCTTGTAAAAAAAAAAAAAATTGTAAGATGCATTCGACTCTAAGGCCCCGTTTGGCAAGCGTGCATTTTGTTTTCACTATTTTTGTTTATGAGTGTCAATTTTCGTAGCAAAAGTATGTTTGGTACGTTTTGTATTGAATAATTGTTTTTTCTTGTTTTGACAACTGTTCATGGCTCAAAACTATATTTTGTCCAGAACAAAACATAGTTTCCAAACGTGCATTGGATTTTTTTATTTATTTTTTATTTTTATCAAAACACTTGCAAAAAAAAAAAAATTCAAACACCTAAAATAAAGAGTATGCCAAACATGTTTAAAATAAGAATAATTTTATTACTCTCTTCATTCCATAAAAAGTGTTACTTTTGGGCAACTGTAACTATCACAAATTGAACTGTCACGGTTCCCAAAAACGGCACTTTTTTTTTTTTTCCAAAGTGAGGTGTATATATATATATATATATTTCATTAAAACGCGTTGCCAAACAGACGTAGGATTTCCTCTAAGCTCCAATTAAATTCCAATTAGTCAGAATTAAAAAAACATATATAGTTAGGTGCTACGTGGCAGAATATGAACCGGATAGACCATATATAAAATACCGGTATGGATTTAGTAAAAACAATCGACCAACAGCAAGAACTTACCAAAACAGTCCGGAGACCCAAGGCTTTTCCAGCGGCGACATTCCGGACGCTGTCATCGAAAAACAACTGCAAACACAACAAATCACATCTTTCAATCACCACCGTTGATCACCATCAAATTCAAAAAGATCTGATAATATGCTTCGCAACCCTACCGTGCGTCGTGGATCCACCGCCGCGACGTCGACGGCGATCTTCATAGCCTCCAGTGAGGGTTTCAGAACAACGGGAAACTCATCAGGACGACTCGATTTCGAGAGATTCGGATTCAGAGTTTCGAAGCATATCAGCTGCTCGAAACAATCTCTGACTCCTAAACGATCCAACACCTTCAAAGCATGATTCCTATCCGAATTCGTAAAAATCTGTAACACAAACCCACAATCAAATCATCAATAAACAAATTTGCTATATATATATATATATATATATATATCTCTCTCTCTCTCTATATATATATATATAATATTGTATGACTCACGATTTTTCTTTGATTGATGGTGCGCAAGAGGCTTCGCAAATGAGGGTCTGGTTTGATCGAATCGTAAGGTAATCTTCCGTGCACGAAACTGTTAGTCAATTCAATAGTTGTTATCCAAGAGTTTTCTAATATTTCAAAATTGGATAATGTGGATGAGACTTCAGTTTTGTTAACCTGTGATAGTCGTCAGCATCGATGTCATAACCTAATGCCTGAAAAAAAAAAAAAAAATTTAAAAAAAAAAATAAAAAAATTAGCAAAAATTAAACGGAGATTAGTAATTGAAAGTGATGATTTCATTAGTGTGTATTACTCGCAAACCGGCCAGAGAGCTTCCGTGGGATTTGAAGAGCTCGACGCGGAGACTCATTGCTTTGGTCCTGGGAAAGCCACATTTTTCGACTAAAAAATCTGTGAAATAGATTGAATAGTAAGTGATCAGAATTATAGGATCAGAAAATCTTGAATTTACCAATATATATATATTAAAATAATTATCAAACCATCGATGTTTAGTTTGGTGGCTGCGCCAATTCCTATCTTGGAAGAGTATAAAGTTTCGTCCAAATCTGTGAGTGGAACAATTCAGATGATCAGACATTGAAGAACATATAGTAGCTAATACAGATGTGTGTGTGTATATATATATGTGTATGTGTAGAGAGAGACAGATTGGCGTGCTTACCGAAGATGAGGGAATCGAAGGGGGAAGTAGAATCTCGAAAAGACTGGCAACGGAAATCCATGGGAGGAGAGAGAGAGAGAGAGAGAGTGAAGTTGAAAGGAAATGAGAGACGAGAGATTTTGATCGGAGATGATGGTGGTTTGATGCTGTGTATACGAGGCTTTGAGAATGTGGAGAACAGAGCTATATATAGAGAGAGCGAATGAGGAAGACACTAGATAGAGACAGAGATGTGCTGACTCAGACATCAATTTTTGAAAGCAACGGAACCAAGTAGAGATGGGGCCTACACGTCAAACCCTCGTTTATGACAAAAGAACTGAGTTACAGCCCTAATTTACCAAATTGTGGATCTTTATTTCATGTTATAAAAACCAAAACTTAGCAAGAATTTTATAATATTCGCTAAGATAATTTTATAATATTCGCTAAGATATGTACGAAGTAAAGTACTTCTCCGAATATCTTTTACTTTTTTAAAACTTATCCTAATTTAAATGGATAGTTTTGCCAATTTTAATTTATCATTTAAATCTTTATAAATTTTAGTATTTATCCAATTAAGTGCAAACATGATATTTTTTAAGTGACAAAAACACTACTTTCCACTAAATGCTGAAACATAAAAATTAAAAAGATATCAAAAAAATATTTATTTTAAAATTAACACTTAAAAATTCTTTTACAATTTTAAGTACTTAATTTTTAATTTTATCAAACACCATCTAACTTTCTAATCTTCATTTGAACAATTAGCATTCGAGTGACATGTTTTTTTTACTAAATAAAAATTAAAAAATTACTTAAGCCCAAAGTAATAATAATATATTATCATAGATTCAATTTTATTAAGTTACGACATAATTTTATCTCATTATTGATGGTATTTGTGAAATACATTGCGTCTTAAGATACTAGCAATTGACTATAAAAGTAGAATATGCGTTAAGATATGTGGTTCAGCGTCACTTTTTTGTTCAAAATTTAAATTTTTGTAGAGACAAAGTAGGTGTATGAAAACATTTAATTAATAAAAATAAAATAATAATAAGAAGTAGCAGTATAAGGAGTTGGATTAATAATAATGGTGTTAAAAGGGTAATCTAATTAATTCGTCATTAATATGAAATAGTTGTTCTCATGTTTAAATTAGAGTTCTTATGTGTTGATATTAAATTTGTACCATAATGACATTTTTTTGCTCTTAAAAAACAAATATGGAAAATAAAATGTATGGAATATGTTGAAGAGATAGAGACTTAAATATTATAGTTGACTTCTCAAAATTTCACCGACCATATGTGACTCACCCATACAAGTTATCGTTTACAAAATTGCTTTCTCGTACAACGTAATAAAATGTATGAATACGTTTGGTTGTTTGAAAAACAGGTGTTACTTAAAATCTGACATCGAGTTTTGGTTGTTCGAAGAACATAATGAAGTGTTTAGATATAAAATTATTACTGTATGTGGTTGTTCTTCCCAAATATTATTATTATTATTATTATTATTATTATTATTATTATTTTGGGTCTTGTCAAGAAGAAATGTGTTATCACGTTTTGGTGGGTGGAAACAAAAGAAAATGTTCGAAAACCGAGGCCTAAATTATTATAGTAGTGTTGAATAGTCATTAATTTACTTTTCATTTGGATCCAATACTATACAAATATTTTGGAACATTCTTTCTTACTCGAATTTGCAATGTTTTCATTACAGTCAGGTCATTCTGTCTACCCAGACGCTTAACGTGACACCATAACTCTAATACTAACTATAACGAGTGGACATTTGTCCATTTACTCAAAAAATTAACTTATTGAATAATATTGTATGCCTACTCATCTATATTCTTTTCACCTTCTACCCTAATTCAATATAAGAAAAATATTTTTTATAATATTAAGCTATTAGGTAATACTTTAGGAAACTAAATTTTCTACTATATAAGTCTCCTTATTATGTTTTGCCGTGCATCCAAACAACACAGTTTACAAATATAGTTCTCTTATACCGATAATGCAATAGTCATTACTTCAAAAAACAGAACTTGCAACATCTTTATTTTGCTGCAGTCTTATAGAACGTATTATATTCTCGACCTAAATGAGTATTGTAGTTTATAAATAATTAGAATTCGAGAATTTTAACATTTGTCTACATCAGAAAGTGTTGAGGTTCAAGTTTTTAACCAAAAAAAAAAAAAAAAAAAAAAGCCAACAACGTATGTTTCAATGTTTTATTTATTTAAGTCAATACCTAACAAAAAATAAAAAATAATTTTTTAAGTAGATAATTAATAAAATAACTTAGAGAATGACGAAATGAAGGGTATTTGAGTAACTCAACTGTGTAAGCATTTGAGAATGTGGTGTGAGCCCACATCATATGTCCTTCTCAGAAAGTCCATAAGTTGTATGGCACATGGAATGCGTGACTAATTTTTATTGCATCGTGTTACTCATTGTTTATGTGCAACATTATTTTTAAATAACATAAAAAAAAAAAAAAAAAAAAGACAAACTACTACTTATGCAAGAGATGGAATTTAAATAATTATGAGAGGGAAAAGTTGAAAATTTAAATTATGTTTGTATGAATTTGCTAAGTAGGCCGGATTGTCATTTACCAAAGCAATCTTTATGCTTCGTTTGGTTGGAGGGATAACAAAATGGATCGAGGTGAGAAGGGAATGTATAGATGAGGCATCTTAGACAAAGGAATGTGTCTCCCTCACTTTTTGTTTGATTGGCTGGAATGACAATTTTTTTTTTTTTTTTTTGGAAGGAAGGAAAATCGAATTTCTCTATACATATACTGGTATATTTTTACCATTATACCCATATTAAGGTAACAGGGTTTAATAAGCAAACTTTTAGGAAAGTTAAAAATGAAAAATTACATTTTGTTGGTCATTATCATTCTTTCTCTCTCATTCTCCCTCTTTTCCCTTTCCTCCAACCAAACATAATTTTTTTATTTTTTTTTATCTCCCCTCTCATCTATCCCGCCCCAATCATTCCCTCTAACCAAACATACCATTAATTTTAGTCTCCTTGTCTATGCTATATTTGTGATTTTTTTAAGCTACATCTCAGGTAAATATAATAAAATATTATTAGGTTATTGTCTGCCCTCAAATAGACCCTACGACCGGAAATGGTGTTTGGATAGCACAATGGCAATGACATGGAACTTTGGTGATGACTATGTAGCAGGGTGGGGGGAGCCAGTGATGTCCAGCCCCCCTTCCCACCCCCCCCCCCCCCCCCCCCCCCCCCCCCCACTATAATACATATGGTTAATTTTTATTTTTTTTATACATATGAAAAAAATTTCAAAATCATTTCTTAACCTTTTCCCCCCCACTTTTACTCTTTAAATTCCTTTAACTTCCATATTTTAAAAATTTTTAATTTTCCTTCTTCAACCATGCTCTAATTCTTTTCCTTTAGAAGTTCTATCATTTTTCTCTGAATTGAAATTCTATCTCCACACCTGCTATGCTAACAAGAATCAAATATGCAAGAGTGGTAAAACATGAACAACATTTGGGAATGGAATATAACGGTTATACTCTCCCTGTCCCATAAAAAGTATCCTTTTTTGAGAACCTATCCTTTTATGCTGTGTTTGGTGTGCATGAATGAAATAGAATGCAAATGAGAATGGGAATGGAATGGAATGACCATTCTCATTCCATTGTTTGGTTGTAAAAATGAAATGTGTAGGAATTGAATGATAATAATTATTCTAGTGTTTGGTTAGACCAATTTAAAATTTAGAATGGAATAAATTCAAACTGCGTTCTCCAAAATATTCTTCTTAGTAACAAATAAATTAAAATAACAAAATGACATTCTTCTATAATTTTTTAAAAATAAATGGTGGCAGTGGCAGTGGTGGATGGTGGTGACAATGGAAAGTGGTAGTGGTGTTGGAAGGTGGCGGGAGTGGCATTGGTGGAAGGCGGCCGCGGTAGTATTGTTGGAAGGCGACAGTGGTGCTTGATGAGTACTGAAAAGTGCGTAATTAAACCCCTTAAGCTTAGGTATTCTAGATACTTTATCTATCTTATTTTCATGTTTTAAACTAATTTCATGTTATTACCCTTTTTAGGTACTTATCCCAAAAATAAGTTAATTCAATCAAATAAGAGCTTAAAAGAAGCAATCCCAAGCTGAATGGAAGAAATGAGCAAAATGGAAGCAAAATGAAGCAAAGTGTGAAAATCAGTAAGTTCGATTGATCTCAACATTCCTTCGATCAATCAGAGCAACATCGATTTGGACGCTTTAAGATGGATCCAAGCCTTTGTCTTTATCCAAAAGAATCCACCATGGTCGATCGATCCAACTTATCTTCGATCGATCGAAAATATTCGATCTTTTTCACACCTACCACCCCACCTACCACTCTTGTCTCTTTCCCAAAATATCTCAGAGATTTGTCTTTATTCAAAAAGGCGCCGCCAAAGATAATCGATCTCTACAGCATTCAATGGATCTCACCTCAGTTCGATCGATCTCAACACAGTTCGATCGATTAAACCCTCTCAAGTGCGAATTAAATCAAATTCCAGCTCATTAAAAGTTGTCTCATGGTGCAATCATTGCAAGGACCCTAGTGCACGAATCCAGACCATTGGGTGTGACACTTGAGCCTCCTATATAAGAATTTTGAGTCATTTTTACATATAGCTTGGAAGATCTTCAATACATATATACTTAGAAACATTCTTAGAGAGAAAGAAATGAGAGGAGGAGAGGCTAGAGATACATTCTTGGGAGTTCTTCCATTCTTCTAGGGTTTCCATCAAGAAGGAGGTCATTCCTATTATGGAGATAGCCCTTGAGGGTTGGATGACTACTTCAATGAGTGGCTAAACATCTTCTTGGGGCTAGAGTTAGCCCTAAGCATGCCTTCTAGATTCTAATGCTTTGTATTTTGAGAGGATTTGTGTTGTAATCTTGTCTTGACACTTATTTTATATATGAATCTTGTTTATTCAATGATTTGTGTGGTTTAATACTTCCAATTGATCATTTCATTCTATCCATATGTCTATGTATGCTAGAATAGATGTTTATGTGTTTATCTCTAGTTTTTGTGTTATTGATGCATGTCTATGTGTGTTGATGTTATGGATTTAGAGATTGTCAAGGTA